TCACTGCGAGGGGCCTGGGACTGCACGATTGAAGGCCCTGTTGTCAAAGTGTGCGAATATTGGGCGGTTAGGTTGGGCGAGTTCCACGTGTAAGTCGGAAGACAACACGCCGTAACTTTTACGATTCCTCAGCCCTGATCGCAGGAGTCCAGGCCAAAGACCAGCATTGGTGCTATGGAAGGCGAACATCGTGGATTTATCGACAGTGGACGACAATTGGTCTAAATGCCGACAGTCGAATGGGTATTAGATACTCGTCGTGCTGGAAGGGTTGTTCGTGTGTCGTTACCGTGGCTTCCGTCATGATGCTGCTCAAAGAGTGGCCCTCTCCTTTCTAAGCATCTTTACATCGTCCTGTAAAGATGGCGTCACATAGACTGGTGTGGTATGATCTCCAGGTCGTGTCCGGGTAGCTTTCTGGCCTGCGATTCCATGGCATCTCGATGACGAACTTCTGAAGCTTTGTAATGCAGTTCATAAAAAGTTATAAAACCCGCATATCCGGGCCGGTTCTGTCCTTGGCGTCGGTAGTTGTCTGTCATAGAAATCGAAAACGGCCAGATGAACTGATCTGCCTCGCTTCTTATGTTCTTTTCGTGCTGGGAGTCTTGGCCTACATATCTCGAGGGAGATGCTCCACCTTGGCACCGTATCTACGTTTCTCCACCAACGAAGCCTGTCGCCGATTGTGAACCTGGCGAGAGATGATTCTGCACCAATGAAGTTGCCATAGTTTGTTGGCCGCGTTGGATCACGATGTGCCTCCGATTGATTGCCAAGAGAGGAGCAAAGGGTCGAGGCTGACGAGAAGTTGACAAGTTGAAACTCTCGAGAACTGGACCTAGACCTCAAAAATCTTGGCTTCGTGTCGGGAACCTGGGAATGCTCGGAAGAAGGCGACGACGGGGGCCTCGTGGTCCCACACTAGCGGGAGCCGGAATTCGATTCACTCATATCCACGAATTGTCATCGAGACATGATATTATAAGCCCGCCTGGATGATGTGACTTTCGACTTTCGAAGCGATGGAATCAATTTGAAGGAAACTTTGCGAATGACTGAGATGAATGAGGGGGGCCACAGGGAGCTTGCTAGGTTCCACCTTTTGGGTCGTCCTGGACCTCTCGGAGTCGATACCTTTGCCAAACCGACCAACGTGTGATTGTTGGACGGGCAGATAAGCTTGTGCTAAGGGTATTTTTTTCTCCGAGCGCACATTGGCATCTGCAGCAGCGGCTATGCCGGTTACAGTGGTTGTAGGACCGAAGATGCGGTACACGGAGGGTGGTTCTGGAGACTGGTCCATGATGCGGGGGACCGGTTTTGCGCCCCGGAACGGCTGTGGCTTCCCGTAGCTGAACCGCTCTTCTTAGGTGGGATTGTCTGGTCTGGTCTATGGCTCCTATGCGTACGAAGTACGCCAAGAGATTGAAGGGTTCCCGTCCGTCTTTAGCCGTCTGCAGCAGGCTGGTGAGCTTCCAGAACGGCGCCCAACAACATATCACGGCGGTGGTGACAAGAGGTGTGGTCAACGGCTGGCATCCCGAGAATATCGTATTGACGGCGGCGGGCCCAATCAAATATTTGCCGATTGCGTTCCACAATTTGCTTCCCCAGAGGGAGCGATCTCCGTCAGAGGCACAAGTCGTTCGTTCGAAGAAAACGCTGAATAGAGAACGGAACAAGCCCGAGAAGGGGTTTGTTTGACTCGTCACCATGACTTGCGTGACTCCTCCTCAGGGACCAGCAATTGTTTCATGAATTGATGATCCGTCAGGTGGTGGAGAATATCGAGGGCGAAGTCATGGGAAGACGGTCGTACATAGACCACTGGTTCTCAAAAGAGACAGATCTGGCAAATTTGGCCGAAATGCTTAAAGTGTAACTTGTGAATAAGTAATACCAATGCCATGCAGCTCGGCAAAGATGAACTCTGCCGCTTTCAGGCTAAGGGATAAAGGCGACATGAACGCTTGAGATTTGTGCGGTAAGCACCATGGGCCGCGGAAGATCTCTCTTTTGCTCGGCTGCAACCACACATCGAAATGGCATGTACGTTTGTCGTAAATGAGACCGATGGCTTGGAGAAAGTGGTACAATCTAGACACCGATAGAGTTGAGGCCAAGGTAGCGCTATACATATGCTAATGTACAGGCCGTGACTGGTGAGCCAAGCCGGTCAAACATGATTATTGGCGGGTAGTCTGACGATGTACAGCTGTTGTTTGGTGCATTTGCCCTGTCCTGTGAGGGTTGATATGAGGTGATGCTCTTCTATAGTGTAGAAGTAGAGAAATACTCCATAGGTGCAGCGACTTTGATGGTAAGAGGTGTGAGAGAGGCGTGTGTGGAATCCTTGAACCATGCACATAGGAGCTTTTCCCTTCCCTCCCAGCGGCACACTAACGGTGCCAAGTCGCCCCGAATGGCGTGGGCGGAGCATCGTGTGATTGGCGGAGAATCTTTGACGTCCAAATCCCGGAAATAGGGAAAATACGGCAAATCTTTGCGGCGACGACCAGACAGCTCGGGGGGATCCCCCCCTCCCCTTCCCTTGCCAAACTCTCCCCAACTCTCCCCAGCCGAAGTTGCTCTTCAGGGGGAACTACAACCGTCAACCACCGACCAGCAGTTACCTCGACTTGTCAGAGTCTCAAGGAACCCACAGGGGATGGCACTCCCCCATGCTTTCCCCATTTACCCCACCATTTTGGTATGCACGAGTCGCCAATACAGGTCCCCAGGGCCAGGACTTCTCGGGTCCCGCACATCTCCAACTTCCTCTTCAACTCGCGTGCTTGTGCCAAATGTCTCTTTCATCGTAGACGACCTTCAGGTACCTCGCAGCTTTGAAAAGCAACGTAGCTTTCCTCTGACAAGGTCTCATGAGTTGAGGCGGCTCCCTCTTGTCCACACCCTCAGCAGTAACAGCAACAACAATACCACCAACAGAGGGAAAGAGATCTATCCCCTGGTCAACTCCCAGATGCAGAGACATATCGAGCCTTACTTGTCTTGAAACAGGATCATCGCTGAACGGTGTTCTAGCCGGCCTGCAACTGAATCCCATCGAGGGCCAGTCCAGCACTTCCAGCTTGGTCTCATTATTCCATCTAAACGCAGGCAGGGAGTGTGTACCTTAGCTTGCCTCGCCTCGCCTCAAGTCAGGAACATCGGCACAACCAAGACTTTGCTTCTTTCGTTCATCGACCACCGGGACCCAAGCTTTCCTTCCTGCGGCCCCGAGCATCCAGTCAGCAAAGCGCAAACGTCTTCCTTGGGACCAACACCCCTGGCAAGACTCCAGAGACGTGCAGGAGCATCTGAGAAACGGCAGCAAAGCCAAGCCGTAGCAGCAATAGCAGCAGCGGCACCACCACCACAACCACAACCACCACCAGCCAACGTCGAGCTTCTTCTTCTCCTCCTCCTCTCCTCATGCTCATCCTTCTCCCAAGCCCCGGCCCCAGCTCCTAGTGTAGTTCCATCCCATGGTAGACTCCTAGTCCCAGTCCCAGTCCGTCTGCCCCATGCCAAGCTCTTCGGCTTGCCCCTCTGCCCCCTTCTGGCTCTTGTCAAGCAACTCGGTGGAACGCAGCGTCTGTGGTGGAACAATTCGCCTTCCCCAAGTTCCATCAATCTTTCCGTCTCCTCCACCAACGACAAGCGGCGGATTGTCCATTGCGATTCGACTTCGCCGGCTTTGCCGTTCAAAGTCCACAACGAGTCTATTCACACTCTAGACCCCATCATCCCAGCAATATCGCTCCTACCAATTGTCCCGGTCTGTTCAGGGATCTCCAACTTCTTGATCTAGCCCAAACTTCCATACCATACCGTAAGGAACTCATACGGATGAAGGAGAACCTTGTCCATTTGTTCCTCTCACAACGTTGTTCTGCTCCGAAAGCTACCGCGCCGCCGCCTCGGCGCCTCCCTGTCGGCGAAATAATCCCTTCTCCACGCCAGACTACTGACCACCTTGCGGCCCTGTCCTTCCCGTGCCATCGGCCGGTTCGTCTCAAGTTCTCAACTCCTCATATTGCAACAACATCCACACAGACGCCATCTTTACCCGGTCAGGACAGCTTCCACGCCGCCCATCTGAGTTGAGCTTCTCCCTCGTGCTTGCTTGGCTGCGTGGTCACAAAACTTCCCCACGGTCCGACTCGCGCGCCACATGCGACTGGCCCTGCAACACCATCACCAGAACTTCAATCGAGATTTCTGACGCCTGCAGTTGGCACGCATCCCAAGCCCGCCTGCGCTTCAAGTAGACGAACCAGCCCACCCTTGGAATCGCGAGCTTCCAGCCCTGCATAGGAAACACCTAAAGCAACTCGCGAATTGGTGGAAGAAACTATCTGGCCCCAGCAAACCGGTCCATAGGGCTCTCTTCTCGTCGTCATCGTCTTGCTGTAATCGCACACGGACGGGGCTTCTCTTACTCTTATCAATCGCAACCTCCGGAGCGCATATCACGCCCCCGATTTCAAGGGCACGTCGTATGCACCAGCCTCACGACGACCCCCACCGGCTTGATCTTCCCGGCCGCATATCTCTCTAACACCATTAGGTCACCTGACGCACCTCGGCCCTGTTCTGTCGTTTCTATCACAGCACACTTTTCATCCCCCGCCGTGGCCCCTCAAGTCTGCTTCCATTCGTCCCTCGAACTGTCATAATCTTACTTGGATCACCAGTTCGTCTTGTCATGGGACTTTGGCCAGACATATCCGACATCACTAACCACCGCCACCATACTTCCTTACGGTCAACCCAGTCGTTCTGAAGGAGGAGAAGGGGAGGGAGCGGTTTATCGTGGCTTTGTTTCGTATTCCCCACCTCAGTACACTGTCCCGGGAGTGACGGCTCGTTTCTCGCAACTCGAAATTCAAGGCTCTTCAAGCGCTGCCATGGCATCAGTGCACCAACTTGGCGTTGGTCCAACACCGGCGCGTCCTCGAAGCATGGTTGGGTCGGGTAACCAAGACGTCGAGATGGACGTTGATCGTAACGCCAGCCCTGCTATCACCACGGGCACGAGGTTCGGGAGTGCTCCTCAAAGAGGAGACACCAGGATCGTCGTTATCTTGTACGGTACCGGTCAGGACAAGATTGTGTCCGTCTTTGCAGATGTTCTGGGGAAACCATTCGTCATCCGTTCTGCGTTTCAGGAGGTCAGCGTTGCTGACCAAGGGCTTGTGGTTGGCATTCCAGCAGAACTCGCTGCGAAGGACATTACCTCTCGCAATAAGGAGTTGGTTGTGGCGATCAACGCCCACTGCGTCAACCTTGGAATGCCACCAGATGTCTTCCTCTCAGCTCAGTGCGACTACGAGTTCCTCTACACCGAAGCACCATTCTTTCGTCGAGACTTATCCAGATTCATCTCCTTCACTCTGGGCCAGATCTGCCACCACGAAACGTTAATGCAGAAACCGCGAACGTATTTCATCTCTACTACGTTCCCAGACGTCAGTGCCGCGTTGCCAAATATCGATATTCTCACCGTCGGCGCCGACGCGGTGGAAATTCGTGTTGATCTTCTCAAAGAGCCCCTCGGCGACGGCACATATTCAGCTATCCCAAGCCTCAGCTATGTCGGACAGCAGCTGATGCTCCTGCGTCAGCGGACAGAACTACCCATAATATTCACCACTAGGTGTACGAGAGAAAACGGTCGTTTCCCCATGGAGAACCCCGATATTTACTATGATTATCTTTACCGAGCAATTCAATGGGGAGTTGAGTACATCGATGTGGAACTTTGGCTTCCGGAAGCCATTCGAAAGAAGCTTTGGGAACAGAAAGGAAGCAGTCGTATCATGTCTGCGTTTCACGACTTTTCTGGTACCTTCAAATGGCCCTCGTCCCAAGCCGAGCAGGTGTACGTTGAATCAAGCAAGTACGCCGATATTATCAAGATGATTGCCATCATCAACGACCACAACGAAAACTTCGAGTTGGAGTACTTTCGCTCGAAAATGCGAGCAGATTATCCGGATTCCCCGCCATTCTCTGGAGTCAACATGGGAGAAACCGGCCAGTTTTCGCGTACTCTGAACAAAGTGTTCACCCCCATCACTCATCCCTTGTTGCCGATAGTCGCAGCTCCAGGTCAAATGAGCGCGTCGGAGATTAACGCGGCTTTGGCACTGCTTGGACAGCTTCCCAAGAAGAGCATATATGGCATCACAACACCGGCTTTCCGAAGTTCAACTCCGCAAGCACCATTCTATGAGAAATGTTTCAATGAACTGGGCCTGCCGCATTACTTCGCCGTTGTAGAGCGCTTGCCAAACAACTTTTCAAGCATGGAGGCTTGGTGTAATCAAAAGAACTTTGGCGGTGCCTACCTCAGCCCGCCAGTGTCGTGGAGCAGCCTGCTCAAGGCCAGCCCATTCTTTGCTTCGCTGAACGGGGGCAAGGGCGCGGAGTTGACTGAGGCAGCTCGCCTGATCGGTACTGTGGACACAATCATAGTCAAGTCTGGCTCTTCATCTTCGGCATCTTCTGCCCCAGCGTCGATTCCCTCAAGCCCTCGTCATGGACACCATGACTCTTTCGGCCACCTGGGGTCACACATCTCTGGCCTGTCTCCGAATACATCATTGATCCTAGACAATGCTGGTTGGCGTGGTATTATCAGCACACTGACCAGAGACATGGCGCCTTCTGCCTACTTCGGTCGAACTGCTGTCGTACTGGCTTCGTCTGGAGAAGATGCCGCATCAGTCATGTACGCTCTGAAAGCACTCCGTATGGCAAAGATATATACCGTTGGCTTTCGAACACCGCCGGCTTTGGCTCGTGACGGACCCGTTATTGAGCCGTTCAACAGTCTAGAGAGCCTCAAGAAAGCACAAACTGTGAGCGATGATGCAGCTCCCTTCCTATTCGTTTCGGCTCTCGGAGCAGATAAGAGCAACCTCGTCGGCATGCTAGTGCGTGTCTTTGGCGCCAACGTCCGAGGAAACTCGAACCCAAACTTCAAGAAAGTCTTCCTCGATCTCGCCGACACCGCAGGTGCAAGAAAAGGTGGCGATCCGGGCCTGATCGCTCAACAGGCGGGATTTTCGGCATACGGTGTTGCTGACACGGCCGCCTTTACCACCGTCGAGACTCTTAGGCTGCTGGTCGGTCAGAATGTGCCCTACAGCTTTGTCAGATTGGCAAGCGGCAGGGGAATGTTCTGACTTGTGTAAAGTGGATTGGCATTTGAGCTTCTCCAGTCCTTCGGACGTTTAAGAGGCCGGATTTGTCTCCGCCCTGTTGTTCTGTCGGGATGGAGGAGTTTCGAAGAACTGGGCCATGATGAGAGTTGTTTGCGTCAACACCGCAATCCTATGTGAACCATGGCCCATGCCGGGCCAGGAGAAGCAATATGAGCCTGCGGCCAAGCTATACGCCCGAGGTAGCTAGGCCACAGGCCAAGGCCCGTGGAGTTCTCCACGATAGCCAAGACAAACCATCGGCTGCCACCCCCAGTGCGGAGAACGGAGGGGGCGATCGAGCCAGGCCCGAACCTGCATTTCCATGTCGACTCGGGGCCTGGAAATCGGAGCTTGAGACCCACCATGTCATTTCCGATGCCAGGTCTCATAAGAGCTGTGCAGTGCGGAAGTCTGGACGCGGAAATGGTGCAGAAGAGCGCCTTATTGAGTAGGCGCTCATCGGGTAAGGAGATGGCCCATTGCATGAATGGCGTTTATTTGGAAGAGCAATGTGCTGGCCAGAAGAGAGAGAAGAGATGGTCTATAGGGGAGAATTTACAAGATCTAGTTCTACATAAGGCAGCTCATGAGTAAGGACGAACATCAACGAGGCGTGTTTCCCGCATTCGAAGATGCCGCCTCTTCTCTATTTCGTTTCAGTTTAAAGCGTGGGATTATCGAGGCACAGTGGTGGCTGTTGACAATCCTCTAGAGAGGGCTGTCATTTTTCTGTGTATGGACTAATGCAATTCCTTGTGGTCAAAACGATTAATCTCCCGTGTAAATGTTCTACTGGATATTCCCTTCATTCTAGCTTTTGGCAAGCCCGTTCTTGACGCTCCTCTACACCAAAGCACGGAATGATCCAGACCTCTGCCCCTACTTTGCGAAAATACGTCAACGGAATCGCGGTTACGGAAGCTTGCCTGGAGTGGCGGAAAACAAGAAGATCTACAGGGTCTATCAGGGTCTTTGTAGTGTAGGCTATCCTGAGAGAAGAGAGAGAAAAGGGGGAGGGATCGCCAAACGACGAGGGCTCAAGGTTGCGTCAGTATACTCCAATGACGATGGATATCCTACCCACCAACTTGTCATTGTATCAACGGGTCAAGGGTGGGCAAGAGAGCCTGCTAAAGTTCATGGTCAGCGGGTAAAGTAGCAGCCACCTGCGGATATGGCTCAATGTGTTCATGATGATCCTCCCGCCATCCGCCTTCCCCAAGCCACGACGTTACATTTTGTGGAAAGCCGACATGGCCTGGCCATCGACTTTGTGAACTGCAGTTGACAGACTGCGGTGAAGGTGGAAAGCCCAGCCTGGGAAAGTGGTAAGAGCTCACTCTCGGTCTGAGCAGCGGTACAGGTCAAAAGAAATCCCGCGCACCCCGCCCACCATACTCATCCCGCCTCGGCGAAGGCGGATTATTCACAGCCACTGGGCCCCGTTCGCCAGCTGAAAGGGGTCAACACTGGAGAAGAAGGGCCGCTCCAACCCCTCCCCAGCGTCGTGATGGTGATGAGTGGTGGTGGTGACGTCTAGAGAAGGCAACGAGATGGTTCCCAACGAGAAGGGAACCTTCTCTCACCTCCACCCGAATGAACCCAAAGAACACCCTCGACATGCAAGGGCGGGAAACGAAGACCGTGCCGTCCTCTGCGCTGGTCTGGGTGTGGTTGTCCCCAGTCGAGCCGATCGGGAACTGCGTTTTGACGAACAGGGCCAGGGCGAGGAATATTGGATCGACGAATGGAATGCGGATATCACCGCGATTGGGGCTGACTCGGGCGAAAGGACGACACGCAGCAAAATATCGAGAGTGTGGGTATTGTGTATTTTGATGACGGGCATGGTAGAGCGACTTGCCGCATGCTCCGAGGGACTGAATTATATCACAAGTGGATTACCAGGTTTGTGATATTGGAACCATCCACACAGTATAGCCCAGTAACTCGGATGTGCTGGAGACGAAGAAAAGAAGCGGATCTGGTCTCAAGGGAAATAATAGGATGTGAATCTTTTTGCTTCAGACTCCTTGTAGTATTGGGGTTCTAATTACCATCTTGGCCCTTCGAGGGCAACATGCGCCTTATAATCGGATTATTTTGACGTGCCACGACATCAGAGAGAAACGCAACCCAAAATCAACAGCCTGGTGGTGTAAAAGACGTCGAGATCCCTCGCGAATTGACATGACACAACGCACATGTACATGTCGGTCTGACTGCTGACCAGGCCATTCCGTTGCAGGGGGTTCATCGGTCACTCTCAGCAGGGCCAGATCTGCTACCGACGCGTCTATACGAGGATGGAGCGCAGCTGGATCACATACTGAAAATCTCCCTCATAAATGCCCGCAAGGACTGAAAAGAGGCAAATATATTGACGCGTTTACGAATACGCCTGGCAGGAAGGGCGCCAGCGGATTAATACCTGGTTGATGTTGATGGCCTAAACCCCGGAGGCCCAATTCTGGCCAAGTTCGACGCACTTATTGATGTCCCTCAGAAAGAAATGACAGTCGACCGTTGATGGGGGTGGCTGACATGGCTGTTGTCGATGACTCGCTATTCGCTCTATGTCATCGCGAGGCGTCGTCGTTGCGCGGGACGTTAGCCCCCGTTTCTGCCCATATTGGGTCAAGACGAACGTCGCCCCGCCTCCTCCTCTGAGCAGCTCTCTGAACGCTCTTGTTGCCATGACCCAGTGGCGTGTCGGGCCGGCATTTCTTAATGGTCAGGTGTTGCAGAGCACACGTGTAGTAGCTGAGAGTAATTCTGTAGTTCTGTACGAAATCAGGGTTCGAGACCTGCAGAAAGTAGTGGATGCGCGGAGGAGTGTGGGGAGAGAGGGGATGTTGAGCGGAGTCACGAATCGATGGTCTCCTTCGACCCCAGTTTCGGACAAAGGTCTCGAGTCAGAAGTAGGTGGTCCGGCTTCGTTCCCCAAATTCCCCAAATTCTGCGAGGGCCGTGATGGTGATTGGTACGGCTGGAAGACGCCGTTGGGATGGAGGTGACGAGTCTCACTGGGTCAAGAGACCTTGTGGGACGGGTGCGCGCCTAACCGCTCATAAGCTTAAACAAGAACATGCAAGGGAACTTTGGAGTGGATGGAGGGCGAAGCCTTGAGAGAGTGTGGTTCAATACATGAGGATTCGTGAGTTGTTGACTTACGGAAGGATCATAGTCTTTGATAGTGTTGCCAGAGCTCTCGAATCAACGGTGAGCTCTGAGCAGAGTTTGGACCTTCCATTGCAGGTTCCGATATCCATGCATCATCCGGCAGTTTGGACAATGAAGGCGTGAGAACTGCCCTGACTCCCGCATAGCTAGTTTCCGTGAACACGGAGAGCCCGGCTCGATAAATGAAGGGAACGCCATGACAAGTAGGTGAACCATGCCATCAGCCGCAGTCGTAGATTGCTGCCCTGGCAGTGGCAGGCCGTCCCTCTTGACGCCACCGACGGGGCACTCTAATGAGATACCTTGAGCCTAGGATTCAATGTGCGCCTGCAAATGGGCATGAACTGACCACTCCTTCGGATCTAGTGCCTGTATGATGTATATTAAGTGACAACTCATCGTCGACCTTGATCCGGCAAAACATTGTTACGCCCCCCAGGTTCTTCTACCAACCATGCCGCAGCTTTTGTAGGGCTATCTTGAACGTTCCCGGCGGTCCGGCAGCCTTCTCAACCGAAATCACCATGCTTGCTGTAGAACCATACCTGACTGATAGCTGATAGTGATATAGATCCTCGGTTGGTGAGCCGGTGCGAGGATCGTCAGGACGGCCCATGGAATGGAATATGGAACAAGTTGCTAAGAGCGGTAGGTGACATTGGCTGAAACGATATCGCGAAGGCTTTCCTGCGATAAGTACAGGGGAGTTGTGGTATTGCTTTATGACTGGCCTTTCCTTCAGTCCGGGTGGCGGCAGTTATGGGTGTAATACGACCGCCGTTGCTTGGCGGTACAGGTATTCTCTGCTTCCAGTCTTCTTTTCCGTCACCTATGACCGCCCTTGCTATGTTGTCAAGGTCGTGTCAGAGCCTCGGACCTTTTCAGACAGATGCCGAGTAACTTGGACGAGGGCCTAAATAAGTTTGAGAAATTAGATGCGGGTTTGCCATCACGAGATTGGATGGCCAGAGCCCGGAGCCGAGACCAGCGACTCGAGAGAACCGCGTTTTGCTCCTTGCTAAGTTGCTGTTGAACTCTGACGGCGCTCTTGTGTTACGTCTGGGACCCACGCGTGGCGGTCAAGACTCGGGTGCAACAACGGCATAGAGATTGGTGATGGGGAAATGGCCGAAGGCGATCCGAATAAGGTAAAGAACATCCGAAGCTTAAATTCTAGGTCATCGTGTCGTTTCTCACCTGCGAGCTGTTTGGAACGCCCAAGTCTTGCCGCGCCAAGAGAGCAGACTTGCGTCAACGGCGCCAAAACGGAGAGAAAATGGTATCTCTGCTTGGCAACATTTGCTTTCTCTTTCAACGATCGCCTCCACTACGTTGTGGGTTGGGGTTTAGCTCAGCAGGCGGGAGATGGATGCAGAGTCAAAGCTTCTCTCAGCAACAGATCTGAGTCGATGTCTGTTAATGGTGGATGGCCTCTTTTTGAACAGTGCTCTCTTTCCACCATACTACATTTGAGGAGCGGCAGCTTGAGCAGCCGGATGGCCAACCCTATTGCTGATCCATGCGTCGAGAGACACACACTGCAGCCACGTGTGTAACAATTATTATCTGCCGTGGTGCCGTGCTCGCTTCAAACCGCCCGCCTCATGCGCTCGTGTTGAGGCTTGGGAGGCATGGACGTTAGCCCCCAATCTGGAGATTGTGGCCGTTGTTCTTTTTGCCTCGGTGCCGTAGTGCCAGAAATCGTCTCGCAAGTTGAACGGCCGCTGGGTGTTGTGGCTGTATGCACACCATCGGACTAGGGCCTAGAGCGAAGCGGCAAGAGCAGCAAGTATCGGGCT